GTTTCTCTGTGTAGCTTTGCGCCTTTCCTGGAACTCACTTGGTAGTCCAGGCTGGCCTCGAACTCACAGAGATCCGCCTGGCTCTGCCTCCCGAGTGCTGGGATTAAAGGCGTGCGCCACCACCGCCCGGCAGTCCCAGCTGTTTTGAGCTGAAATGCACTATTAATGACCAATCCTGAACGGACTCAATTTTCTTTTTTTAAAAGATCATCTCCGATCTAAATGATTTTCGTCTACCATTTTCCACTCTGGTCACCTACAACTTTCACTCACTGGATCAGTATTCACCAACACCCACCTACTAAGGACCTGATGGATACCCTTCAGGCAAGGACCTGCCCCAGGTTCTAGCTTAGCGTAGATTTAAAGTTACAAGGACCAGTGGTGACAGGTGAACAGCATGAGAACTCAAGAGGAAGGCCACACATCCTACCAAGGAGAGAGCACAGCAAAGTTGCCTGGTGGTCTGAAATCTTGAAGGTGTGAGTTCGCCAGGAAACAGTGGGTGGACAGGAGAGGGCGAGGCATTCCTTGGGCACCAGTTGAATGTGGAGGAAGCTGCTTCCTGCTTCCTGGGGGAAGCAGAGGCAGGCCCCTGTGGACCTTCAGTTCCATTAGGAAGGAGTCAGAATGTGCCTCCCTAGAGATCAGGGCCTGACAGTCTACCAGTAATGTCCTAAATACACAACCTTCCTCCTCCTGTGAGGGCTGGAGAAGGAACCCCCACCTCTTCATTTCTGGATGCATCAGAGGCCACACCCCAGGGCTCTAAGTGTATGTATTGTCCAAAACAAAACAAAACAACAGCCATGGACTGGATGGGATGTAGCTTAGAAGACAGAGTGCTTGGCTAGCATGAACAAAGCCCCCAGTTTAATTCCCAGCATGATGTCTATAATCCCAGTGCTTAAGACACACAGATGGGAGCATCTGGAGTTCAAGTTCATTCTTGGGTACACGGCGAATTCTAGGCCAGCCAGGGATACCCGAGACCCTGTCTCAAGAACAAACAAACAAACAAAGCCACAGTATCTTGTATCATGGTCTCTTAGGCATGATGACAGTGGACTAGAGCCAAGGACTGGAGGCCCTTTTCCAAGGCTTGGGCTCACTCTCCAGGCTCATTCCAGCCTCTCCCCAGCTGTCCTCACTCATTTACTGCCTGATGTCCATCAGCGGTTAAACGCCCTCTCCCCGAGTGCTGGTAAATAAAGCAGCACTTATTCAGCCCACCCAGCTGTTACTGCCTCTTATCTGATGTACTCCAGACAGCCTGTCCGTCCGGCTTACTGGACAAGGGTTGAACTAAGGCCTGCCCTTGTTTGTGGGAACGAGAGTGGCAAGTGGTAGGGCCAGGTTTCTGCTGGGAACAAAATAACTTGGAACTTCTGGGGAACCAGGCTATGAAAGCAGGGGAAAGGCCGTGCATCCAGGGCACAGTCGTGCTAGAGATCATTATCCCAGGGCCTGGCAGCCTCTTCCACCGAACTAAAATGGTGTCTCTGCCAACTCTGCAAAGAAATAGTATGAAAACAAAGCAAAGAGCACAGGCTTGCCCTTCTTAGTTTCCCCACTTATTTCTCTTCTGGGAAGGGAGGGCACGTGGGTGTGAGTCCACAGGGAAAGCTGCTATTGGAGAATCCCTTCCCCACCCACTCCGTGTGTGAATTAGCACGTAGCTGGTTTGATATTAATCCACAAGCAGGCCCATAGTGCCAGCACAGTCAGGGGCCTAGTGAATAGCAAGAACATCATGTATTTTCCACAGGAATGACAGAGGTCATTCAATCAGTGTGCCTACCTTCATATGACCCTTGTCAGGGTTCTAGAAGTAGGTGGATTTTTTTTTAAAGGATCGAGGGAGAGGCTACAGAATAGTATTAACTGCAACCATTCCTGAAGATACTAGCAGATTCTGTTACTGTCTTTATTTGACACTGCCCTCAAGACCAATGCAGGGCCCTTGAAAAGATGAGGCTAACTTCCACTAGTAATGGCAATTCTTACTCACTGAGTACTAGAACTAGTCTAAGTGACTGACTGATCGGTCAAATCTCATATTGTTGAAATGGGTTGCATTTGAAATCCCACTCCAAACCTGATGGAACTAAGCTGTGTTGGCCACCTGCCCCAGGTTGTTCAAGTCAGTGGGCAGGAAGTAGACCGGAAATAGACCTCCCCAGGACACCTGGCACTTATGTCTCCATCCTCGACTTCCTGCATGTCCACCTCATTGTCTTTAGGGATGGAAACCTTAGCAAGCAGGAGTCTGACGCAAGCTAGAGGTGAACTCCTTCCTCCATTCCCACCTAAATGACCTTTCAGTTCAACTAATTAAGAAGAATGATAGTAATGGTTCTCATTTGACCTCCAGTGTCTGCCAGGGTGGAGAGGATGGTTTAGACTGAGGAAAAGGACAGGGGCGTTTAGGGGACATTTAATCCACTGCTCATATATATATATCTTCGCTCCTCCTCCTCCTCCCTTTCTATCTCTCTATCTCTCTCCCTCTCCTCTCCCCTCGCCATCTCTTTTCCTTTTTGAGACAGAATCTTATTCTGTAGCCCAGGCTAGCCACAAATTCATGGTTATCTTCTTGCCTCAGCCTTCCAAGAGTTAGGATGATAAGCATAATTCACCATGCTCAGCTCACCTTGCTGGTTTCTAAGACAGGAAAAACTGGATGATTTTTTCCAAACTTCCCCAGCTACTTGCAGAAAAGAACCAGAACTATAAACCATGTATTTTCCCTCTCAACCACAAACTCTATTGCAGAACTTTCACGGGGTCAGGAATGCTGGTGCTGACCGGGAAGCAGAGCTCATGAGTCCTCAGTATCCTTTCTTACCAAAGGCTGGTACAGGAGCCAGTGCCAGAGCTACAGAAGTGGTTTCTTCCTCCTGGGGCTTGTTTATGGCAGCATCAAGGCCTCCTCCACCCAAACCTTATCAGAAGCCAGGATGGACTTGTAATCTACAGCTGCCAGCGCCTTGCCCAGACTCTCTGGGGAGGGACATTATCATCACCAAACAGCTGACCACGCACAGGACTCTAGGCCACCATGGTTTACCGAGCTTCAGGGAAGCTGAAAGCCTAGCTTTGGAGCCTGGGAAAAGCAACTACTTGTTACTCCATTCAGAGTCCCAGTGGGTGTTGTCTGCTCCTATTGATACTGGCCAGGTCTAAAAGAAGTAACATCTTCCTGGATCACAGAGCTCTCTTGTATAAATGGAGTGGCTGTTATTAGCCTACCAAGAACCAAAAGCACCCCCAAAAGGAATCTACCATCCTGGGGTTTCCCTGACAGAGATGGGTTTGACCTGTCTGTCCCCTTGGCCTCCAGACAACCTTCCCTGAATGTCATTCAGTCTTCCACTAAATGATGAAATGTCCCTTAGAATTGGGATCTTTTAGGAAACAAGAAGATAGATGCATACTTTGAGCTGAATAACCCAAAAGAATAGAACCCCAAGGATGAGCAAACATTCCTAGATCCTAACACTGTCCTTGCATCGAAACAGAGAGGAACAAATGAAAGGACTATTTCTGTGGCACCCCCCTGCCATTAGTGGGTTCCAGTAGTCTATTCATGACACAGGGGCACTGACGTCCCCCGCCCAGGCCCTGGATCCCTTCTTTCCTCACACAATCCAGACATAGGCACCTAGCTTCCCTGGCCTAACTCGGACCAAGAACACCCAGGACACACTGCATGATTGTGTACAAAGTTGTGAAGTATGAAATGAAATGAGAATGCTTACAATTTTCAGAATAGCCCACTTTTCACCCATCCAATGTGGGTCAAAAGTGTTTCTGGAGCCTTAGCGGGGAGCCGAGTCTTTATCAAAATTCTAGGAAAGAGCCCCCAAATCAAGCATGACAAATTATTACTCTTGCATAGATCCTCTCCGTGAGGTCAAAGGTAGTTGTAAATGAGTAATAAGCCAAGGGTTTTCACACTGTGCGCTCTCAGAAATAACTGCTTTCTCGCTAACTTGTACCACTGGCATTCAGCCATGTGTGGCCCCAGTGCACAGATCCTGGGGCTCCACTTCTGTCTAACAGGGTAAGAATGGTGGTTAATAAATGGCAGCCGAGGTGACAGGAGCCCTTGCTAGGAATGGCAGACAGTCTTGCCTCAATCTGTGAAAAGGGTCATCCTCTGCTCACCACTGGAGGTCTGTGGAAATCAGGGTGTGCTTGAATTATTTTTAGTATTTGTTGATGATATAGTCCAGTCACTGGGTACCTGCAAGGGAATTGGTTCCAAGACTGTTGGAGATACTCAAGTCTCCTCTATAAGATAACTTGGCAGTTTTTAGTTGAGGGTCCTCCCATGTAGTTTAAATGATAAGGTTGTTTGCAATGCTTAATACACTGGAAATCGTTAAACTAGTTTCTGGAATGGCAAGGAAAATCTGTACATGTTAGGTAAAGATGCTGCTGCTGGAGGCCTGAGGCCACAGCATAGGAACCGGATGTGCTCAAAGGAGGGCCTCCCAGATGACCTGTGGAATGCCAGAAGGAACATCTGAGTGTGCTTGTGTATGACTGCAGTCACATCACATGGACTGGTGTGCTCAGTGTGCGACAGATCAAAATTTTGTTTTTTGGAACTTCCTGAAATTTTTTTTTCCTGTATAATTTCCAGCCATGGTTGGTTGCTTCCACAGATGTGGACACAGAAGGCCAGCTTTACAAATGTTCTGAATGACTAAGAATGAGACGATGGAATAGGGTGCAGAATGTTCAGACAGCATGTTTTTAGAGACCTGTGAGAATATTCACAAAAGGACAGAAGTTGGGAGCTACCTCCTGATGTGGGGGGTGGGGGGCATGGAAATGATGTCACTATACACCTAGGTTATCTTTTGTGACATCCACATGCTAGTCTGACCCAGGGCAACTAATGAAACACCACAAAACACAAAGAAAGGGTTTCCATTTGAGAGGGAGATGCTTGTCGGCAGTATGGAATGTTACCTTCTCTACACAATACATGATCTGCTACATTTTTATTAAAAACAAAAGTGTACATATGTCCATAAAGCTGTACAGTCTTCCATATAAAAACACTATTATACAATTAGTAACCTTTGCCTTTTCTGTCAGAATAGCTTACAAACTTACCACTATTACTTATTTTTACTTAATAAGAGAGACAGGCCTGCTCAACAGTCCAGCTCTGGGGGGTTTTGTCATTTTTAAAGTGAACATCGACAAGAAAGAACAGATCTCAGCATGAGACCAGGCGGCTGCTTCTAAAGAGGCAGGGACTTGTTTGGGGACAAGACACAAGAACCATCAGTTGCAATTCACAGCTTTGTCTGAACCCACAGCTCGCATCTGTGGGCCCAGAGTTAACTTTAAAGCAAGAGAGATGAAGCTGCCTGGGAAGGCTATGTGAAGCTGGAAGCTGGGGGTGTCAGAGCAGGCTGGGCAGAGTGTTTGGTAAATAGCACCTTTGAGTAGAAACTGAGGAGTTAAGAAATCCAGGAAATGGGATGCCATGGCGGTCGAGAGAAATGGGGAAGGGGGGGGTCCTCATTAAGGAGAGGGTGATCGGCTGATTCTACCTCTGTCCTTCAGTTTGAGAGACTGGAGGCCTTCTGAGGACCCCTCATCAATGTCACTGAACCTGAAGGAAAGCCATTTCTTCCCAGTGTTTTCCAATTTTCTCCAACCCAGAACAGTAAATATTGCACACATCTATAGATAAATTTGGATTTTACTGAGAGAGACAACCTCCTCCACAGGTGCTCTGAGCACCAAGGAGATAAAGCTGTGCCCAAAGTTTGGCTCTTAGTGGCAGCCCTACCAGAGTATCAGGTAGGCCTGCAGTGCACAGGCACTCTCTCTGCAGCTCAGGAAGATCTCTGCAAGGCCCACCAGCCAGCCAGAACCCCTAGGAGAACAGGAAAAGCAGGTCTCTAAAACCCACCAGTGCACCAGGAGGGGCTGGGAGGCCCAGTCTCAGAGTTTCCTGGGACTATTGCACAGTGATTGAGAACTCTTGTCCTAGGAAATAGGGCCTTCCAGGACCCAACCACACCAAAGAGGGGAAGGAGGAACGGGAGTCTTGAAGAGAAGGCAGTTAAGAAAGGACCTGGAGTTCCCTGGAGCTTTGAGCCACCTCTAAAGGAATAATGGTAGCAGCATTCGGACTTTCATGTGGTTCCCAAAAGGAGGGTTTAGGAAAAGGGAGGGGGGGAAAACGACCCCTCTTTGGGTCCCAAAATTCCATTGCAAATCACCCCTAAATTATTCGCCATCCATCCATACAAAGCAGCGCAGCGCAGAGCAAAGGTTTTGTGCGGTTCCCCTCCATCTACACCCAAAGTCTTTGCACATCTGCCTTACATCCCACCCTCCAAAAATGTCCGCATAGATTCCTGGCTGGGGAACAAGCTTTCCAGGCCCCTGAGGGTAGAATCAGAAGTGAGACAAGATTCCAAGAAAACCTGCTTAGAACAGAAGGAACAAGGAGAGGTCTTTCACTCTACCCAGGATCTCATCAGAAAAACAAAAGGAGATTAGGCAATGTAGTATTATTTGAGACCAGGCTTAACTGCCCCTGAGTGAGAGAGGAACCAGGCATACAGGCATCCCGGCTGGGACAGTAACCCAGGGCAGATCTTGACCCCTCTCATTCACAGTTGCTCCCTTTTCCCACCTCCGGGGGATCAGCCTTGAATCCCCCTTTACCTTGGCTAGGCCAATCCCCAAACCACTCCCCTAGGCAAACACTGGCTCATGGACTCAATAACAGTTCTTTCCAAAGGCACCTGGGGAGGCCACTTCCAAGCAGCTCCCTTTAAGGATTTTTTTTTCTTTAAAAAAAAAATCTTTTGGTTTTTTTTTCTCCTCTTTTCTTAAAAAAAAAAAAAAATAGCATGTATAAATAGCTCTTCATTTAAAAACACAGTTCCCCAGGTTGAGGTATACGGTGGCCTGTTGTCACGGCAGCTTGAGTACAGTAGAGTGCCAGGGTAGGGTGGCTCTTCTTTAGCTGGAGACAGCCATCACATAGTTCTTCGAGGGGCTGCTCCTGCCCAGCATCATTTGCTTCTTGCAAGTGAGGAGCCCATAGGAGGCAGCCACCGGGGCCTCCTCGTACAGGACACAGATGGAACCATCCTCTCCGATGCGGTAGGACACCTCATAGGGATCAACCCACAGGGTCAGCTCACTGGGCAGCAGCCGGTGGAGCTGGGGCTGGCTGAGTCCAATCTGGCTGGCCACCTTGCTAATGATGGGGTCCATCTTGTGGTTGATGCGGATGCAGCGGTAGCCAGAGCCTTTGGATGGTTTCTCTGGAAACCAGTGGTGTTTGTAATGATCTGTGGAGGAAGAACAAGAGAGAGAGATGCCTGGTTAGAAAGCATTGTCTCTGATGTTTACCACAAGGGGGGGCTGAGAGCAGAGGGCCTGGAGAAAAGGAAGGATTCAGCGACAGTGTTTCTGAGCCTCTCCTTAAACTCCCCCTGCCACTTAGAAAGATCCCTGGGCCCTTTCCAAGTGCGTGTACATTGGAAGGCAGCGCCAGAGCTTTCAGATAGGTGCTCTCCCGGTGGTCAGGGATATTTTTGGTACAATCCATCTTAAGGAAGTTAGGGCTGGTATGAACGGGCAGGGCCTCTGAGGACCCAGACACTGAAATCTCAAAGTCCAGTAAGCGGCCAACATTGCTGGCTGTCCAGCAAGTCACCAGGCCTCCCATCCCTCCCCCCACCAGAAGAGTTATAAGATCTTCAAGCAAAGGTAAAGGAATAAAAAATGGTTTTGTTTTGATGAAACAGCTGTTGGTCCTCAGATCGGTGCCAACATGTTGAGAGATGGCTATCACTGCCCAAGGCAGCCAACCAGCTTTAACATCTGGGGACAGAGGCGAAAGGGCTGCTTATCACTCCTTCACCTCCTGGCCTCACACCCTGCCTCCATAACACGGCCCCCCCCTCCCCGCCCCCAGCAGGCTAGACTACTGGGCTCTTTTCTGTACTACAATAGGTGGCAGATGGCGAAGAGGGACCAAAAGAAAAAAAATACAAAGGGGGCCCAGATTACAACTTCCAGCGGGTAAACAAGCGGCAGAATGGTCCTGTACAATGGTAGGCCCAGGACGACAACTGTGGCTGGGTCTCGAGTTGTCGAGAAAGTTCAGTTGCACATAAAGTCGCATAGCTTGGCCTGGCTTCGTGGCGCACAGCATCCCCCGGGGGGTCTGAAGGTCCAAGATTCAGAGAAAGATCTCAGTTTGGACTCTGAGCGCAGACACTGGCTATTCCCGTGGTGGTGTTAGGGCCTCAGAATATACCCAAGGAAGAGGGTCAGCGCCCCGGGAGAGAGGCGGGGATTGGAGGGCGGGGAGGCAGGGACCTAACCGAAGGGACAGAGGACCACAGACAGTCTCGGAGATTAGAGCGAGGCATCCGAGACCCGGAGTTGCTCGCGTATGGGAGGGGGGGGGTCTCCGTCCCCAAAACAGTGGGGAAAGACACCCCAGGCAAGGAGGGACCCTGACGTGTGCTCACCGGTCAGTGCGTCCTGGAGCGCCCTGCTGAACACCTTGAGTCTCTGCTCGCTCACACAGCCCCGCGTCCTCAGGAGACTGGAGAGGAAGCCCACGGCGGCGGCGATCTCTGGGAGCATGTCGGTTCTCTTCCCGTGGCTCATGCCGGGCGGCTGGGGAAGTAGGTGTATTATTAGGAGGAGGGTGGTCTGGCCGCCGCTCGGGGTTCTGCCCGGACTTTCCCCGGGCTGCGCCTTTCATACCGCTCGCGGAGGCGGGGAGCCGCAGACGGCGCCCATTGGCGGAGGCTGGCGGATGGGGGCGTGTTCTCCCGCCGCCCCGCCTCCCGCCTCCGCCCGCGCCCGCCCCCGCCCCCGCCCTCCCGCTCGCCCGCTCGCCCGCGCCTCCCGGGCGCTGAGGTCATCGCTCACTGACGTCAGTATTGGGAACCAGCGCCGGACTCCCGAGCGGTGGGAGGCGGGCGGGAGAGGGCCCAGGACCTGGGCAGAGGAAGCGCGCCACACCGGGCATGCCCGGACGTCGCCTCTGCACAGTGCCAAGGCAGCGGTTGCCTGCCGCCTCCTCCAGGGTGCCCTCGCCGGTGCTACTTCTCCCACGCCCCGCGATACCCACAGAGTCGTTCACCCTGGCGCCTGGTCATCTCTGCTACTCTCTCCCAGCTCGTCCGAACCGGCTTCTCAAGTTTTCAGCAATGGGGATGTATTCCGTTTGCTTCCATAATAATTCCACCTCCCCCAACAAATTCTGCTCTTCCCCTTCAGCAATTGCCTAAAAGCAATCAACTCTCACTGTTTGGTGGCAGGGATGTCGAGGAGAAACTTTTCTGTGCGTTGGGTTATTTTTCCAGTTCTCACTTTCCTTTAAATGGCTTTTTTCCTCCGTAAGTAGTCTGATGTGAACTGTACAAAGTTTCCCGTCGGCTCCCTGCTCCTCCCTTTTCGCTGATTCGTCTTCCTTCCTCTTTGTGGACGGAGGCTTTTGTAAACACTAGCTCCCCAGAAGAAAGGCTTCGGCTCTGGCTTAGGCTACACTCTGGGGCTCAAGGACTGGTGCCAGGAAGCTAGGCAGACTACTGAGGGGCCAACTTGTCACCCACACCTCTGAGCCCAGCACGGGATCTGGCCTGCAACAAGCCCGTGTTTGTTTGTTTTGTTTTTTGAGTTCTATGCCACCTTCAAGAAGCCGTGCCCCCAGGCTTCTCTACCTGTCCGCTGCCTGAACCACCAGCCTCCCTGCCTGGGTCCTCTGTGCCCATTCCCACCCAGTGTCCCTCTTCCCTCTTATTTCCACTTTCTATCCCGAGCTGTCCCTTTTGCTATTTGTTTTTTTTTTCTCCAGTGGACTTCCACGTCAGTACTTCTGGATATCCAGTACTTCTGGATATCGTCTTCATGCTGTCCCTCCCTGGGGATGCCTAGCGCCTCCTCTAAAGCTCCCTCCCTCCCGGTCCTCTATCAAAGCTACTGATCACTATGGCACTCTACCCTCTCTTAGCTTCATCAGACCTAGTCCCGAGACTGATGGCTTCTTACCTACGTAATCATGGTGGGTTTTTCCATTCCTACCCCAAACGACCTTCCCCGTCCTTTTCCTAAAGTCTCCAGGCTGCTTGTTCTTCCTTTGCTCAGAACATGAGACAACTCCTCTATTTGCTAGACTATCTGGACTCATTTGCCTGACGGTTAAGACATTTCATCATTTTGTATGACCTACCTTTGTAGGTTTCTTATCACTTTGTGCTACAGGGTCCCTTCTTTCACTGTCCTCTAAATAACATGACAGCTCTGCCACCTAGGTCCTACAAACTTTTCCCATTATTCATAGCTCTATGACATGGTCCTTACCTCACACATCGCTGGCCTGGGTGCACCATGGCTCGTGTCTTTAACCCACTACTGCTTAGCTACCAATTCATACTCTCCCAGATTCCTGAAGCGTCCTGAAAAATACAGGCTGACCATGCTCCCAATGCTAAGTCGATGCTGCCCAAACAGTCACTTAGCTCGTCTCCAACTGGGAATCCTCCTGCCTCAGCCTCACAAGCAAGATCCCCCTCCCCTGGCCCAACATCGGTGTACTAGTTACTTGGAAGCAGGCTACTATGTTTGCATGCCTCCCGTCTACAGGACGACCCACATTTCGTATGTTCTTCCTTCTGTTTCAGGGGATGAATCAAAACGCCTGGGAGTCTAGTGCTTTGGCATTGAGCGTGTCCCTCAGAGAGCCGCTTCATTCCTCCTCCTCCTCCTCAGGGGCTGGGTTTGGATACATGAGATGATCACTTCTGCTTACTGAGGGGAATTATTAGTTTTTAACAGGAAACCGGGCTGACCTTGGAAAAAGATAAGCTAGATGCATTGAACCAAAGAGGCCAGGTGTCACCGACCAAGGCTGGCCACCAAGGAAGTCAGCAGAATGGGTCAGAGCACACGGGCCTGTGCTGACTTGTTCAGTGCCTGAATCTGACACTCGAGACAGGGTTCCTCTGTGTAGCTTTGGAGCCTGTCCTGGAACTCGCTCTGTAGACCAGGCTGGCCTTGAACTCACAGAGATCCACCTGCCTCTGCCTCCCGAGTGCTGGGATTAAAGGCTGCGCCACCACGGCCCGGCTGAGTCTGACACTCTTGCCATCAGCTCCCAGTGTCTTTGGCTTGGGTCTGGTGTTCTGACATCCTACAGGCAGACTGATGAGAAAGGCTTTCTGCAAACCAAGACACCAGCTTCGTTTTTCTTTAGGAAATCAAACTTGCCCTTCTGTAAAGGTTCACATCTCCCAGCAGGCTATGCAGCGACCTCTCAGTAAAGCCAGGACGGGGCATTGTTTGCAGGTTACACACGTGGTGCTCTTTTCATTAGACCCCCAGTTCCTGGGCTGTTGCTGCTCTGGCCACGGGGCCCACAGAGCAATCACTCTTGACAGTGATGCCATGATTCCAGAGAAGGAGCCCAAATGGGAGGCTAGGAGCAGGAATGTAAGGCAACCCCAACCCTAAAACCAATTCTAAGGCTGGGTGTGATTGCAAACACCTTTAATCACAGTACTCAGAGCAGCAGAGGCCAGCCTGGTCTACCTACAGAGTTCCAGGCCAGCCAGAGCTACACAGTGAGACCCTGTTTCAAAATAAGCAAACAATTCTAGAAACTAAATCCTGATTTGGGGATGCTGCTGCTGTGTAGTGTTACCTAGGTATGCTTCTTCAGAGACACCTCAGCATCCTGGATCGGACCCTGGCTGTAGCGCACAGTGCTGTGCAAGAACCAACAGGAAGATCCCCTCCTCCATCTTCTCTTTGTATTCCTGAGTCTATAAAGGAGCTTAATTTATCTCACAGTAACATCCCTAGGTCACTTTGCAGCAGCAGCAGCAGCATCCCCAAATAAGGATTTAGGTTCTAGAATTGGTTGTTGTTTGTTTTGAAACAGCTACACTGAACACATGTAGCTCTGGCTGGCCTAGAACTCCGTACCTAGACCAAGCTGGCTTCTGCCTCTCTGAGTACTGGAATTAAAGGTGTTTGCTATCATACCCGGCCTTAGGATTGATTTCTGATAGCGTCAGACACATGACATCAGTCCTGATTTTGTTTTAAATTTATTTAAACTGCCCTTAAGTTTAAATAAATAGCACACACCTTCAATCCCAGCACTGGGGAAGCAGAGGCAGGCAGATCTCTGTGAGTTCGAGGCCAGCCTGTTAGACATAGAGGTTCTAGGCCACCTAGGGCTACACAGTGAGATCTGGTCTCAAACAAAGGGGAAAAGTCACCTAAGTCGACAGGCGCTTCTAGACCTTTCCTTTTCATGGCCCCCATTGCCTCCTGTCCTTGGGGTGTTTGGACCATCAGCCTAAGGAGAATGGCTCCCCCACTCCCTCACCCTCTCTCCTGACATTCTTCTTCCTTTTCTTCTTCCTCGCTCTTTTCTTTCTTCTTCTCCCTCATCCATGGGTTGGATGATGAACATAAGCGCTGACACACGGTGTTGACTGTGACTCCACAGATGCTGTCACCGGTGCCTGGGTGATAGCAGGGGTGAGGGTCGCGTCAGTCTGCACTTTATCTGCACCAGAAACTCCAGTGCCCTGTGACCCCAGACCTGCTTTTCCTCAGGTCTTGGTTGGCCGTTCCATCTGTTTGCCTGGCCTACCTGTGTGGCCTCTTGGAGAGTGACATGACATTCCAAAACAGCCCTCCTTAGTCCAGCCCAAGGACTGGGTCCTTCTATCCTGGCCTTGTCTGTGGAGCTATCACACAGGCCTTGCTCTCTCTGCTTGCCAGTTAGGAGCCACCAGATAGTGGTGTGTGCTTCTGTGGGGACCTTGGGGACTTGGCTTGGTTGTCAAGGTTACCTCCCAGTTCTGACCACATGTGGAAGCCTGAGGCAGGCTCGGTGGCTCTGCTGTCAGAGGCCGGGCTGAGCTATTCTGGGAGAATGACTTCAGTTCCCTCCCACACGGTACTGTGTGTGATTCTGCTAGTCTCTATGTGTACCAGTGTGGGTGGGAGGGTGGTGTGTATTTTTGAGTGAGTGTACGTACTGAAGTGTATGCGTGAACTCGAGTTGGTGGGAGTGAGGGAGTACGGAGTTGCTGTGTCCTGGTGTCTGGTGAAGCCTGCTTTCTGAGAGGGACAGGCCTTGGGGTGGGAGTGCTGTTTGCCTGTATGTAGCTGCTGCAGATGCAGATTTGATCTTTCCTGGCCACCCTCCCACCCACCCACATTGACATCGCTAGCACCTTGCTGTGCTGCCCAGAGCTGATAAGACCCATCGCCAGGGTGGGCCAACCTCTCCTCACCCCTCCCTAAGCAGGATAGAAATACTGCTGAATCCTTTCACACCTCTCTGCCAGGGGGGCTCTTCTAGGACTTCCTGGCCACTTCTCACAGAGATGTACCCAAGGTCACCAGTATGGGAGCTATTCTTGACATTCAGAAACAGGAATTAAGAACAGAAGAGAAGGTCCTCCTTGTCATCAAAGCCTGCTCAGGAGGGCACAGAACTGAGGATGTGAGCTCTGTTTGAAATTTCAACCTCTTGCAACCTCGCCCCTGATCCAAAAGTGAACTGAGAGGGAGGACGGACCTACACAGTTCATGGAGGGTTAGGGGTGAGAGTAAGCGGAACACTGAAGGACTGAAGGAAGGCCAGGGGAAGAGCAGACAAGGAAAGGGCTTTCTCACTTGGGGGCTAAAAACATTTAAAACCTCAGAGAACCATTTTTGGCAACCTGTTGAGTGCCAG